AGATAGAGAGATAGTGTGTAATAGGATAGTAACTTAGACAAGTAGAATAACTCTGTATATTATACTTGTACTTAGAACTTAAGTTAAATATATTAAGCTATAAGGGCTTAATACCTACTACTATATACTAGAGCTTCATACAATATACTTAGTTACTTAGTGCTACTAAGAAGTACTAATTACTAAGCAACTTGCAGGTTAATATGCAGAGTGCTTAGTTACTTAGTAGTACTAAGATATACTAATCACTGAGCATCGTGCAGATTACGTAATACACTAGTCCTAAATAAGTGTCTTCGTTTCCTGCGGTTGTTCTACCTTCTTATAGATTACTCGTTAAATAAACGTAACGGCGAAGTGTCCTTCACATTCTGAGGCTGGTCGTAACAGTATTACGCTTTATTTAGAGCTAGCTAGAACTTTAGATAAAGTAGACTAGAAGATTATATAGCTAGCGTGCTTTCTATAAAGATTCTATTATAATTATAGCCTAGTTTAAGCTAGTAGAGGAGATATACTAGACGTATAGTATCTTATATTAAGATATCTATAACTTTAATAAGACTAGCTTCGCGATAGGCGTCGCTAGTACGTCTAAGATAGTTACTAGCTCTAATAGAGTTAGTCGCGCAGTTATTGTATAGCTAAGTAATCATGAGTAGGTAATAGCTATTAAGTATATTAATACATCTAGCTAGTGTCTTCTACTCGTTAAATAGTTGTGGCGGCGGAATATCCTCAGTATTCTGAGGCGGATCGTAACATCGGCCTAACCCGGATCGAGTTTAGAGAAGTATCAGCACCCAACCCCGTGTAACACGAGTCTATTCAGCGACTAGACTAACCCGGGTTATGTAACCCGTCCGATCTTTGACTAGCTATCTAACAAGGATTAGATAATGATAACGATGGATCGGATATTGGAAGGATTAGATTACTAAATGGAGTTAGACTTAGTTTGAGAGTATATAGTCTGACCGATCCATCGATCTAGATTAGCAGATTGATTGGTCCATTATCTTAATAAATTCTCTTTGTTCGACGTTCTCCAGCCTCCGACACATGATATATATATGGGCTGTAAAAAAATGCATCTGGGGGGAGGGGGAGAGGGGGAGAGTGGGGAGTTAAAGTCCGTAATTCACGGGGTATAAAACAGCCGGATGTAGGGGGTGAATCGGGCCTTGTATATGATAGGCCTGTAAGTTAGCGTATTTAAGCAGAGGCCGCATTGTGTGGGGTACGATATTTTGCGGGGCTACGCATCAAGCTCTTAGGATCATTCGGTACTTAGCCTCGGCCGAGGAAGTAGTATCATGGCAGTGTTATTAAAATGGATTTCAGCTTGTCAGAACAATCTAGTAGTGTATCGGACCTAACTTCGTCCTTCCTCTTCTACTTTTTCTTAACTGACATAACTCTATCGTGTCGCAATGTCCCCACCACTTAAGCTTTCCTTCAACGATGAGCAGCGGCTCCGCGAGGTCACATTTACATGGACTAAAGCTTGGGATACAAAGGTAAGCTAGATCAATTTGAAGTTGCATAGATTCTAACTTCGTGATACATAGGATCTAGCTGCATTCTTGTCAATTGCGGCACCTAAAGTGATTGCAGACTATACTGAATTATTCTCTGGTGGTCACGTCGTTCAAACTGATCCAGAAACACTCTTCAAAGGTCTTTTCAACGAGTTCAGCTTAGGCCATCCTAATTGTACGCATTTTGGAAAAACCCTATTTGCCCATTGTGTACCCCGCTAAAACATGGCCTACCAATAGTAAAAACACAACATCTCCTTGGCGCCGCAAGATTCACGCGCATCGACGGATCAAAAGCCATAGGCGAGTGGCAAGTGAGAGCCAATCATGTGAAAAAACATCAAGATGGGCAATTGTCAATCTGGGATTCGAGCGCGTATGCGAAGCTCACTTACGTCATCGTTAACGGCGAATGGAAGCTTCACGCTTGGAAGCCTCATTCTGTATCATGCGAGATTGGGTCATATAAGGAAACAATCGCGAAGTTGTAGATTTTAGAGACGTAAGCTAAATAAGCATATCAATGCTTACCAATATAACAGTCATTGAGAACAATTTCTCGATGTTGTGATAGCATGTTTGAAATAACTACTGTTCACCCCCTTAGTCCTTACCCTCCTTATACTTATGTTAGTATATACTATCTATCTAATTCACATATTCCCCTAGGAAGATACACCACATTAATTAGCCAATATCTAATCACTAGCAAAAGATACGGTGTTTCTTTGACAAAACATATGAGATCGCTGATTAGACAAAAATATATTTCTGCTAATAACCTGTTTAGAGGTATATGTCCTCACACGACCCATTATTGATGTCCATCTTACAATGTTGCAACTTCTGATAAGTCACGCTTTGCCACAAATTCATGACCTCTTAACCAATTGTTGGACTGGTATCAACAGTGACTCCCGGGCATACGAAGTCTTGTTCTCTCCTACGTAACAGCACTCACATTAACTCGACCAATGCTTCTGCGCCTTCTGTCGTTCTTAAATAGCTTCTTTTGCTTTTGTTTAGCATATTTTCAGTGAAATCACTGTATCATTTTTGATTCGAAGTTAGGTCTTCCTTACGACTTGTCAGGGGCAAACCAGCCTCTACATCTCTATGAGCACTTCGTTTAGTATCTTGCTTTCGATGGAGTTGGTATGCTAGATGACAGGCTCGGATGTGTGCAAGAGATGCCGTAATGTTGGCTACAATCCACCACGAGAAAAGGATTGGCAAAGCTCGATAGACTTGGTTGTGTGCCCCGCCGGTCCAAATGGTCACCAATACAGAGTAAGCCTCATGGCTTGGAAGAATGATACTCCATTTGTAAAAGCCAGTTTGTATGTCCAGGGGGCTAGCCGCACTCGCATTGTTCAGCGTGATCCAGAAGAGGACGACAAATGGCATAGCTGCCGGTGGCGCTGTTGTTGAGATACTGTCCATGACAAGAAGATGTATTTGCATGAGTAACCAGACTGCCATCCATGTTAAGAGAAATTGACTGCCATTTACTTCCCAGTTTTCTCTGAAGGCCCAGTAATACCCTGATTGGCATAGTGCAGCGCCGAAAGTAAAAAGGATACCGGCGAGGCGACGGAGACACATGCTGGATAAGACTGTCATTCTTCCGTAAAGATTAAGTGCCCCGAAGATACCATTGAGAGTAAGGAGAAAGAAGAACTGCTCAAGGATAGCCATCACCATTGAGACTGTGTTCATGAAAACCACTGATCCAAATGCTGCGGCGTGGATGTTGGTTTCTGTTGCCTTGATAGGATCGAGCAAGGCCTGTATTGCAGTCTGGTCAGTCTTGTTGACGATGCGCATTGCTTGCATGCCGTTGATATTGCTGTAAGCAAGTCGTGTAGCAGCCACCAGCTGGTTCATATGACGCTGTACTACCGTGTTTGCATATATGGTATAATACTGCTGATCCCAGACATAATGTAGTGCAGTTGACTGATCATAAGTAGCCGCTGCTTCACCGCCTTGTAGTGCTGCAGACAGGCGTTCGGAAGCTCCTTCAGTTATCGCAACGGAAGCCCAATAATCTCCACGCCATACAGCATGGAACATATCGGCTTCTGTCGGATATGCTGAAGGAGAGCGAAAGTCTAGAGTAACGAAGCCAGGGCCCTTGAGCTGGGTGTACGCTACTTGCAATGCTTGACCTACGGCTCCCTTGTCGTAGTCAACAGCAAGAACATGGAAAGCTGCATGTCTTCCTGGAGAGAGATATAGAGAGCCGTAAATATATGAGAGACAAGCAAGGAACCAAACGATATATGCCATGCCGCCCACTGCAATCCGAAGAAGTATCTTCTTACGGATTACCATAAATTTCTGATTTCTGAAGTTTGTTCGATTGTCATTGGTAAGAGTAGGCTTCCCGTCGAACTTGAGGTTTTGATTGATAAAGCCGAGTATAATTCTAAAGAGATGCATATCGTAACAAGTTGCCGAAATTCCTTAATATCGCAGGTGGCCAAATTGTATATAGATTAATGTATAAGTGATAGAGAAGCTGACTGCTACTAATTTCTTTCAAATAGGTATGGTAGCAATGTTCTCACGGCAGGGACGCGCCTAAGAGCTAATGCTAAGGGGTTTCGGCATTTACTGGTTCCGATAAGACCGAGCTGTATTGACCAAAGCGTATCGGCCCGACTGTATCATATTCTAGCAGGCCGGACCGTAAGGATTAGTGTCCCATGAGCCACGGAGCAGCTAAGAAGAGTATAGCCCCCACGAGGCCCTACAAGGATAACATGTAACTAGTAACTAGACTAAGGTGTTATGATTCGTGAAAACGCTTAGGGTAGGCTGACAGATGGGTAGGGGTAGGGTGACTAAATCCTGACTGCAACAGTGTCACAGTAAACGGCTATGAGCTAGAGTAGTGTAACGGCACAGGCAAGAAGAATCGGATTCGTTTCGGAGGTAAGGTCACTCAGAGGCATATGGAAGTGCGTGAGACTTAGACAATCTAAGAATCTAATTCAACACCTATAGGCCTTGTATAAAAGGATACTAAAAAACTATAGAATAAGCTATTATAGAGGTTTAGGTTTTCTTTATCCTTAGAGTTCTACTAAGCCTAATCCTGATCCAGTTCGGACCCTTCTCGGATGTTGGTTGTGTCGGTGGCTTAGCCGTTACAAGTAGATACCTACGTGCTTTAGACATAGTTAGTGTTAGAAGAAGAAGGAGAGAAGTGCTACTTATTCTATTACTAGCTTAGAGGTAGCAAATCGATAGATTCTAGATAGAAAAGAAAAAATGCTAGGGGAGAGAGATAAGGATTGAATTGATCTCATCTAGTAGTCTGATCTGTTCTTGTAATCTGCTCTGCTTTCTATCTACTAGCTATTATACTACTATATATATTAGCTACTTTAGATTCTAGAAGAATCTATTGAAGTAATAGATTGCGTAATCTTGATTCCGATAGATAGATTCTTAGATCAGGGGTTAATAGATCGATTAGATTAGAGATCGATGGATTGATTCCATCAGAGATCAGCTGAATGTTACGACCAGCCTCAGAATGTGGAGGACATTTCGCCGTTAGATTTATTTAACGAGTAATTTGTGAGAAGACGACATAACTGTAGGAAACGATACGCGCTCTTTAGGAATAGTCATTACGTGACTGCTTAACAATAAGCGCTCACCAGTGAGTAGACGCTTAGCACTATAGCGCTCACTAGTGAGCAACACTTAGTAAGGACGCTTAATATTAAGCGCTTATTAGTGAGTATTGCTTACTATTAAGCATAACACTCACTTAGTATATAGTATTAGGCATTAAGCCCTTATCGCTTAATGTGTTTAACTTAAGTTCTGAGTATAAGTATAATATATAGAGTTATTCTACTTGCCTAAGTTACTATTCTATTGTATACTGTCTCTCTATCTGCGAAAACTAACTAATAAGAAGCTTAACACTAGAAGTCTAATATTACTTCCACTCGAGCTATACTCTTAATACTGAATAGCTTAGATCTCTAATAATAATACCTTCGTATAACTAAGTAGAGTAAAGGAGCGTTTCTCCTTTAAGTATAAGCGTTTAATCTAAAGTTCTATGAAGTAAGACTGAGCCCCCTTAATAACAGGCTTAAGATTAACTACCTAAGGAACTGTTAAGAGTATAGCTTGAGTGGAAGTAATATTAGACTTCTAGTGTTAAGCTTCCTATTGGTTGGTTTTCGCAGATAGAGAGACAGTGTGCACTAGACAGTAACGTGGGCAAGTATAATGTTATATTATACTTATACTTAGAACTTAAGTTAAATATATTAAGCTATAAGGGCTTGATACCTAATGCTATATACTAAGTAAGTGTTATGCTTACTAGTAAGCGCTTAGTGTTGAGCACTCTGCCAAGTGCTACTTACTAGTAAGCACTATAGTGCTAAGCACTACTTACTAGTGAGCGCTCATTATTAATTAGTTACGTGATAACTATTTCTAAAGAGTGTGTATCGTTTCCCACGGCCATTTTGCCTCCTTATAAATTACTTTTAGAATAATATAGCTTATAATTTATTATAGTTTATTTTCTTAAGCTTTTAGTAGAAATGTTCTTATATTATATAGTTTATTTTCTTAAGCTTTTAGTAGAAATGTTCTTATATTATATAGTAATATCTAATAGATATAATTAAATATATAAAAAAGAGACTAAACTTATATAAAATTTTGATTACTAAGAAGAATATTATTAGAGAAAGGTTATTTAGTTTTATATATGCCCTAGTTAGCTATCGTTTTACTAGGCTAGTAAATAGGTAGAGGTTATATTATAGTTAGGTTACTAAGAGTTTAGGTTAAGGTTAGGTTAGGTATTACATAATTAATACTCTAATGTTACACGGGGTTAGGTGCTGATACTTCTCTAAGCTTAATCTAGGTTAGAGCGAGTGAGATAGTGTGAAGAGCGCCGTGAGAGTTTGTCTAGCGATGTAGTAGAGTAGTGTGCTTAAATAGAAGGTAATAAAGATTCGACAACTACTAATCTATATTAAATAGACTAACGAGTAATAATCTTATTAAGTAAAGTAANTAGTAAGAAAGTATAATTTAAGTTAACTATAATAAGAGTAATAATGAAATCTATCTATCCTTTTATCCTCGTTGCTTTTAGTCTTGCTATTAGAACTTCGACCTACTATTACTAATAGCTATCTCTACTTCTAATAGTTGCTATTATATACAGTACCTACTATTACTAATAGCACCGTCTT